GTTAATGTTGACGGTACGGACAAGAAAGAGGGACAATGACTCCCAGATTTGTCCTTGAGCTACCACGTGGATGGTAAAACAGGAGAAAGACCAGGTTTGGAAGGGCGGGTATGGTAAATTCTGCTTAGGACATGCTGAGTTTTAAGTTTCTATGAACAAGGAGGCGAAGTTGATAATGTAGATCAGGAACTAACAATTCTGGGCTGGAGATATGGCTTGGGAGTCTCCTTTCTATACCTAGGGGGAACCATGTAGTTAAAGCTTCGCAAGGACAAGAGATCACCTGATGGCTATTTAAATTTATTGAAAAAGTCAACAAAATTAAAAATCCAGTTCCTTACTAGAACTATTCACATTTCAAATGCTTAATAGCCACACGTAACTAGGGACTACCATATTGGACAGCACAGTCCTAGAACATTTCCATCATCATACAACATTCTACTGGACAGTGCTAGAAAGTGAGTTATTGATCAGAAGAGAGAAGGGGGGAAGAATGGAAGGCAGAAGAAGGGTCTTCCAAGGAAACTGAGAAGAGCACAGGTAAAAAAGACAAACCCAAAAGCCAAGATAGGAGAGGAAAAGCAGGAACTTAGGCCCTCATGGCCATTCCCCTTCTTTGGCTGTAATGCTGAGAGAAGGCAGGAGTGACCGAAGGCCTTCCATGAGCTAAGTGCTAGGTGCTTTCCACATCATCCACCTGAAATCACAGACCCCTCTGGGAAAACAGAGCCTGATTCCCACTTGCTACATTTCTTCGCATGGTTATTACTGCCAAATTTTAATTGTGCACTTTTGCCAGTTTTACTAATTGTTTACATACATTATCACGGATAGTGTAATGACTGACTTCATTTCCTAGTAGAATTAAAAAATGTGGTATCATTTTTTAAATATGATCCAAGACAATTTACATGAAAAAAAGGTTACTCTAAAGCTGAAAACTGACTTCATCTAAGTGTTTGCTCAGTGTGTCAGGTGTGCTAAGTGCTCTTATTAGGATCAGCTTATTTAACTATTTCAATGATCCTCGGGTAGTTCCTATCATCCTTGATTGAGAGATCAGGAAACTGAGAACCACAGAGGTTTAAAAATTTGCTAAAATTTCACAGCTAACGATAGAGAATCCCTGAATTTAAACTCAGATCGGTCTGATTCCGGAGTCTTTGCTTATAACCACCACCTTCCACACAGCCCTCCTATGAGTTCACTGCAAATCCTCAACGTCCATTGCAGAAGAGTGATCATCTCAGCCATCTTTCTGAAGTATCATGCTTACAGCTGAGGAATGCTCTGTGCCTGGCGAAGAGCTGCTCCTCCAAAGCTCTCTATTGGCCTAACAGCGTATTAGTGAAATATAAAACCAGCGCTCGCAGAGGACACAATTGAGCATCTCATCTGAGGGGTACGTAGCTTCCCAGTTGTTTCCACTATGTCAGTTTTACACGCAGACGACAGTGAACTCCTTGAGGGTAGGTAATGTCTGAAACCTGTTGGAGATCCTCAGAGCACAAACTTAAACTGATGGAATCGGGAAGATTAAATTAGCAACGGAATTCAGGTCCACCAAAATATGTTATAGGAATGTTATGAGAAAGATTCAAGTTTTGTTTTTCAACCCATGTATTTTTCTTTTAATTCTAGCCTAGTGGAGGGGTATGTTGCTATCTTTTCTGAAGTTACTTAAATCAAGAGCAATACAGTACACGCTCCTTAAGAAGAGCCTTCTCAAAACAATTTGGGGCCAGAATATCTCCACAACCTTCAATCCATGTTTAAAGACAGCACAAAAAAATATATGATTATTAAATTGAGTCAGCATGTTTCACCAGAGGACACATTAATACCATATTAATATCATAGGCAGGAACCTGGAGCAGACTAAACCAACTCAATTTTATGGCTCTGCATGATTTAAATCACCAAATGATTATGATTTAATGATTGGCTTTATTTGTGATATGTAGTGACAATATCCTGGTAGTGCATACTACGTATAAAAATTAACGATACTTTTCATTACACAAATAATTTAAGTTGATAAAAGTCAGGATCGCGCAATCTAGTCCCAAATACAAATCTAGCCCCTGGTATTTTTGAGACCTGACTGTTTGCCTTCAGGATCTTCAATACTACTTGATACCTAAAAAACAAGAAGGGAATTGACCATAACACGCCAGCTTAGTTTACTGAAGTTGTGCAGGGAGAAGAAAAGCTATGCTAAAAATGACCTCTTAAATATTCATCTTGATACAATAAATTACTAACTATATTGATGAAAAATATTTAAATATCACTGTGTCTCTTTTGAGGTAAAAGCTATGAGGTGATCTCTAAATGTACTTAACTGAAACTGTTGCAAAGGCAGAGCTGTGATCTCCTTACACTTACGTTGCAATTCTAGTACAACCAACGTATTAATCAATAATTCACTTGAAATTTAGGAAAACACAACAGCAACAAAAAACCCAGATAACCCAAAAAAAAGTTCCTGAGAGAAAATAATTACATCATCACACAAAGTCTTTAGAACATTATATTTCATAAAAGACAATGATAAAAAAGTACAAACATTTCCATGAGAAGCAAAAAAAAAAAAATGAGTACAAGAAATTACTAGCATTTATTTCAGTGCACTGTAGAAGCCTTTCAGATCTTAATAAATAAAATAATCTTAAGTACACTTCCTCTTTCTGATAAACAACACTATGACTATTTTAGTTCTCTCAACTGCCATACTTGCAAATACAAGGCAATAAATTTAGAGAATTAATATCTATCTGAAAAACACATAAAGAAATATAACAGAGACAAGCAAATGCCAAATAAAATGACACAAAATCTGCTTTCACTTGTAGGGAGCCTCCAAAAGAAGGATAATATTGTATTGGATATTTTTCCATTTTGTTTTAAAATGGATATCAATATCTTGGCTGGGAAAGCAACATAAGCAAGTTTTTAATACATGATTTTGTATTTACATAATATTGTAAATAAGGTTTTCTTACTGAACACCTTTTCACAAAACACAAACAGAAATTTAAATTTTAGATTTAAAAAAATATTTATTAAACTCTAGTTTTGGCCAAGTTTTAAATGACTATCTCCACTGTGGATTAGACATAATGTTACACAAATGCATACACTTTTCCCTTTTCACTTCTAAACAGGCCCATTCATCATTACTACTTTCTCTAGTTGAAAGGCACTATATAACTTTACCAGTAGTGCCATAGGGACCTCGTAATAGCTTTACGTCCACATATATATGTTTCTTGACGTTGAGACTAAGAAATACAACAGATAAGTTATCAGAGGATGTCTTCATAATTTTAGAAAGGTTTCTACTTGCTTGCCTTGATTTCTTTAGAAACGATATAATACTTTTTCTGTAGACATACCTAGCATTGCACCTGATGGAGTAGGTCATCAATCCACGTTCACTAATAAATCCACCCAACATAACTACCAAGAAGATAGTTTGCATCTGCAATGTATCTGTTATTTTTTTATGGAACAGATTTACTTTTTATACAATGAAGATAACTGGGCAAAGCTCTGTCGCTTTTAACGGAAACATACAAAAAATCACTATTCATAGGCAAAAGTCAATTTTAGGTCTGCACTTAAAAAACAAAAGCAAAAGACAAAAAGCAAACTAATCAGATGGTTTTCACAGGATCACACCATATCCAAAACTGAAAAAAGCAAAATATTCATGGCCCACTCCTTAACAAAAATTACTATTAGACTTAATCCAGGGAAATAAGGCAGATATTAGTAGAACTGAGTTCTCTTGAAACTGTAAAATGTATATCAAAATGAAAAGATTCCAAAATGTGGGCAGCTGCACATTAAAAAGAGAAAAATATCTTTTCCTAATAAGACTTAGAAACAACCTTATTTTCCTCAAGACTAAAAGATTTAAGTATTATTGGGTTAATTATGCTCCTATGCACCTACTATCTTTATCTTGTTAGTGATCAACAAATGTTAACTTTCCCAATCTGCTTTCTTTTACTTCATTGAATTAAAAAACTACATGGGATGTGAGAGACAGAAAATGAACAGATAGACAAATTAAGAACAAATATCTTACTTTTCAGAAGGTTTGATTTTTCATTATTTTGAGTACCAGCAAAAAAATGAAAGACAAATATTTTGGAAATATTTCTAAGAAATAAATGTGGAAAAATTCTGTTTGGTATCATAACAGAGAACTATCAGTTTTCTCAAAGTATAAGAATTTCAATTATTTTATGATTTGGTTTGTGGTCATCAGTGTTACCAATATTGTCATAGAAAATGACACTTCAACATTAAACTTACAACCTGAGATAAATAACCATATTTCTGTTTTAGGCAAACAATCCATGAGGCAAATGTTATCCAAATACCTCTCATTCATAGATTTCCATTGTTTTTTTACTGTTGTTGCAGAGTCACTTTACAGACATATAATTTTTTGTTTTAAATTTTTGAAAATATCTTAAGATATTTTAAAGAATCTTTGGTTAACTATAATTGGTAATTTTCAAAGTAAGGATATTGTTTGGTTTTTCCATGAAAACTTCATTCAAATTTAAGATAAAGTAACATACTTAATGTCAGGTAGTAAAGACCTGTTTTCAGAGAAGTGTCTTATAACATCAATGCATTTAAATAACTGATCATGTATTTTAATATAATTCTATTAAATTATGCTTTTAGGAGATTTTAATAATTAACACCAGAAATGTAATTTCTTAAAAGTGAAAAAAGTATGTATAGTTCAAATGAAATTGGCCAACATTAAAAAGGATCTCTTCCAAACCTGAAATTCTATGAGTCTGAGAATTAAACTTAAAATTGGTTATCCATTAAGCATTTATCTTCATAAAAATAGAACATTTAATTTCTTATCTGATAGTATAATTCATTTGTATATTATAAGTACTACTGGGTTTTCTATAACTCATTCTTTTAAAAAAAGTTGTTTTGATTTTTTTTCAAAATGAAGATTTTTTTTTGGCTCTTCTGAACTGGAAATAATAAAAGTGCTGTTCACTATAAATTAAAAAAAATACAGTGTACAAACACACGCAACCTTGGGGACATTTTTTGAGGCACAAAATCTCTGACACTTACACCAGAGGTACATGGAAGACATTTAACATAAAGAGGTCCTTTATATCATGTCACATCACAACTTTTAAGATTTTCTTGGTAATACTCATGCAATATGCATAAACAACGTGGTTGTGATTTAGCAAAGTCTGATGAGATTCAAGCAAGACAAAAACATAGGTAATCCTGGCAGGAAGAAAAGCTGTTTAAGCCCTTTCTTCTTACCCTTTAAAACACGAGGAAAGTTGTGACTTCTCCCACATAAAAGGCTGAAGGTCTAAAGCTCAAAACTAGTATAACAGTTTACTGTATTAGTTGGCTGTCAATTATTGACATTCCTTCATTTCACACAAGGGTTAACCTTTTTTAGTGACATAAATTTACATTGTTTTATTCCATGCAAATAAAAAATGTCTATAAAAGTCCAGTAAAGGCATAACCAATCACATGCAAAACTGCAACACATCTTATTTTTCAACAATTTGAACACATTATTTTACATCACATATGTACAAAATATCTTTAAATGGAAATAAAGCATTCTCTTGAATTAAATTAGATTTTAGTATAAAAATTTTCTCTTGGTAGGGAGCTCTCTTAACTTCCAGACTTAAGCAGTGGTATGTGGTCTCTGCAGTGCTCACCACGAGGGTATGTCTCAGAGGAGAGGATGGGTCGAAGAAGGCTCACTGTATATAATCCCACACTGCAAACACTGAGGACTGCTGGCTCTTCTCACAGATCAGGGCACTGGGACACATCCATTCACTGACCTCCATTAAGAGTGCACTCCAAGTTTATAATCCAGCATTGTGGTCTATCTTGCCAGGAGAGCTGTGTCTTTTAATAGTCTTCGATTGGAGCTAACTCTGGCATGAGGTTTACAGATATATTTGTATACAACCTATCAACCAGTATTTTTGGCGTATATATTAAATTGTTCAACCCATCGATGTACTGACGTTCTTTTGAATATCTTAGTAATTTATACCTATAGTGTTAGAGGAAAAAATGAAAAGTAATGGGAACATGCTCAAAAAGAAAAACTGATGAGGAATACGCTCAAGATCATTCTTATATTTAAAGCTCTTTACAACTTTTGGTTTTCATGCATAATTAAAAATCTTTCTAAGCCATTATTCTAAATTAGCATTTTTACTAGTCTTAATATGCCACCTGAAACAATTAGTTTGCACTCTTACAACTTAGACATCCTTAAGAAATAAAATGTATTATGTTTTATGTTAAGGAAACACTTTTTATATAAATAGTTAACTGGGTTCTTTAATATAACAAATACACATGTATGTATGTAGATATATGTATATCTTTTCGAAACAAGCACAAACAATGCTTTACTTCTATAAAGAAAAATTATACCAACAGAAAATTCTCTTCAGAAGGCTTTTTTAGGGGTACAATGTATTTTTTAAAATCTTTCATACATTAAATAATTCTGAAACTTTGGTATCTGAAGATGCTGTTAAACTTACCGTCCTAAAAACTGGACTTCACCTCGATGATGATGAGGAATAGACTTGTATTTTCCTAAGTCTCCCTCGGGTCTTGTTACATTATATCCAGCATAGTGAACTCTACAATACAATATATGGAAATGAAAACATAAATAAAATCTGACATCAAAACTGATTATGTGAGTTCAATTTAAAACACAAAAGAATGCTCTAATGTATGTGTTGTCAATAATTTCAGAAGGCACTCTTAATGAAAAAAGGGAGAAACACAAAATAAGATTTAGGAACCTCAAAAATTTTCCATCCCAAAGAATCTTTCCTTGAAATAGCTAAGTACAGTAATTTACCTAATAGAAAGGAAATTCATAGAAATTCTGTTGTTAAGCAATTTGTACCTCAACATACCTATTCCAAAGGTCATCATCTTCTCCTCCCCATCCCCAGAAGGCGTTAGGAAAACCATTAATCTTTCTAAATTGTTGCACTGTCAGTCCACTTACACCACCAAAAAACTCTTTATATGGAAGACTAAAAAAGAAAGCAGAATATAGCATTCTAAAAATAAAATCAAAACAGTTTGCCACATGAAATCAAGTTTTCAGTCTTTTATGTGCTTGACAAAATAAACCCCCATTTACCATATAAACAATTATGCTGATTAAATCATATTCTGGGAAACGTAAAGTACACCAAGAAACAAAACATTTTTATATTCTAGTGGAACAAGTACATTTAAATGTGTTACGTAAAACACAAAATAAAACACTTGTGGTAAGTGAAATTTAATATTTAGTATTGTTACTTTATAAGGCTCAAAACCCAGTGTTCAAAAATTGTGTATTTTCACGCCAAAGTAAACTTGATTAAATACATCAACAGCTGTCAATGAAGTGTTAGATGTTGCTAACAAAATTTTCTAAATTAGTTGAACTTAATTATACATGTCTTATTTATTATATAGTCAGATATAAATTACTAAAGACAAGCCTAGCATTTAATTTTGAAATGACTAACTGCCTATTCCTATAATGATCATATGTTTGGATTATACTCCTCAAATACTCACAGATATTTACAAATGTATTTATTTTTAATGCACTAATATTTAGAGAAATGACCTTTTTTATTGAGATATAATTGACATACAACATTGTAGTAGTTTTAGGTATACAACATAGTGATTTGATATGTATATATTGTGAAATAATTACCAAAATAAGTTGTTAAAATCCATCACCCTACATAGAAAATCTTTTTTTCTTGTGATGAGAGCTTTTAAGATCTACTCTCCTAACTACTTTCAAATATGCAATATGGTATTATTAACTATAGTCACCATGCGGGGCATTACATCCCCAGGGCTTATTTATCTTATAACTGGAAGTTGGTACCTTTTGACCTCTTTCACCCATTTTACCGACCCCCTGGCCCCCACCTCTGGCAACTCCCAATCTGCTCTGTATCTATGAGTTTGGTTTTTTTTTTTTTTCCCCCCGATTCCACACAGTACTTGTCTTTCTCTGAGAAGTGACTATATTTTTAAAATTTGGATTTTATTTTCTTTACCTTTCCTTAACAAATAATCCGAGGAATTTGTACAACTAAGTAATTCGTTTAGATATAGACTGGTTTTCTGGATGTCGAGGTAGCGTCCCTAGATTTGCAGTCCTGAATAAATTTCTGTGGCCCCAAATGTGCTATTGGGGAGTAGCGGGCCAGAGCCCCTAAAGGGGCCAGGCCAATGTGGAGGGCAAGCAGAGAAAACACGATCCCACGCAGCATCTGAACATCAAGCTGAGGGAAATGCGGCCGGGACTATGCAAAGCTGCCTCAGAGAAAGAGAGGGAGCAGATCTCCCTTTTTTGTTGTAGAGACTCTCCCTCGTTCCCTGTAAGGAAGAAGTGCTGTTTGTCAGCTGGGATCTTGTGTGGCCACAGAAGATGGGAGAAGCAGCTCAGCTCCTGCACGGAATTCTCGGGTTGCAAGAGAAAGTAATCTTGGCCCCACCCTAGGCCAAAGGCACCCCAAGAGAGTAACAGCAATACTGACCCCAAAGACAAGCACAGCGTCCCAGGAGACCTCAAGAGGCTCACACTTGGGAAGTTAGGATTCTAGTAATAACACCGGATGGGGTTCAATAAGCCAATAAGCATTCATGGCACTGTTATGATTCCCACACTGGTTGGATTATTCTTGCCCTGGCTACTGGTTTGAGAGAAACCTGAGATCAGTAGATGGGTAGATACAGATAAGAGTGTGTGTGTGTGTGTGTGTGTGTGTGTGTGTGTGTGTATTCACTAAAATGTATAAATTGGCAAGAACATTAATTCCATTTATTGTTCTGCTTAAGTGGAAACAACTGATTGCACTTTAACCAGAATTGAAAAAGGTTAGATAAAATGAAGGTATAATAGATAAACTAAAGAACAGAAAATTGAAGCTTGACAAGCAAAAATCACTACTAGTAGTATTTCTCTTACACTGTCCAAAGGGAGAAAGACACTAATCTGGAGACCTGAACTTTCTGGTCAGCAGCCATCAGGGTGTGGACACCATTGTGGGGAAGGATGCTTCATCAGGCCTCATCCCTGAAGTTTACGCACTGTCCGGCCCATTCCTTGATCTGCTGCCATTCTCCCTAAGCTACATTCTAACTTCTAGTCAAACTTCTAAGATACCCTACTGACCCTGGGATTAGTCTAGGTAGATATGAATGGTTTATTCATTAGAAATTAATATTTTTAAGCAAAAATATTAATCTAGAATTCTTTTTTTTTTAAGTTACCATGACTTTT